ATTTCAGATCATGCGCTGGCCTGCGAAGGCAGAAGTGTGCTCCTTTATCAAGCAGCATTGGCCATACTGGCACTAGGTATTACAGCGTGTAGTCCTGCAATGCTGGCGCCGCCGTGTATATAACACCTAGGCTGGCATGCGTTCCAACTGTCAGGAAGTGCTGTGACCTGAAGTCAGCCACCAGGAGTCCCGCCTCTAACGTGTTTTCGTCACTCTGATGTCATCAGGAAGCAGTTCGTTTGTTTACAAAAATGCCTAAAAAAGTGGCGTTTTTGGTGTCCATGTACAAGAACCCTTAGTGACACCCATTTCTAAGTAAAAGATTATAATATACAGCAGTCATAACCCTTTTACACTGACATATCAGTACAGATCGGGAAGACGTAGAGTGCTGCGATTAATTCCCTTATTCCACGGTGACCTTGAAAATAAAGTCCATTACCATAGATGTCATGGGTGTGGATTTAACCCAGGCAATATTTTACAATATACATTCTAACACTATTACCTTTAAATTTGAAATAAATGTTTAAAATTCACATCAAAGTAAATTATTTTATCCCTTCCACTGAAGATTCAAGATGACTTCTGAATCATGGCCAAACTTTAATTGCAATTAATAATTTATTCATAGCCCTCTAAGCTCATAAATTAACAACTCAACTAATGACTTAATCAAGTTAAAAGGTTATTTAAACTTTCTCAGATATTTGCAGTAATTATTTCCTAACATCTTCTAAAAAGATACTGAATCCAAACTGTGAAATACCGCGTGCCACTTGATCTCAGAACTTCTAAATAATCACTCAACAAATGTCAGTTTCATTAGCGAATCCTTCCAAAAAAATCCTTGTGAATCCTAATTAAAACTGACCCCTGGTGTGCGGTCTTTACAGTTACAGTAATATAATAGCAAAATAACCTTATCAGTAGATACAGGCAACAGACTTTTCAGAGCTTGCAGTGTCTTTTATTTTAGACTTTCCTGCTCATAGTCAGATGCCAGTATTTTGGCTTATTTTTAGCTAAGGTATGATATGGTTGTATGACACATGGATGGAAAGCCCTTATCTGACAAATACGGCCATTATCTAGGGTGACCTAACCTATTGCAGATTGCTTTCCTTCTTTCCCAAACTGTCTGTACATCTTTTTAAAATCTCATTGTTTCGATGAGTACCATTTGGAGTCTTGGAAAGGATGTTGGCAATCCTGGCAGTGTTTCTGAGAGGCATTCTGGAAGTATTCAGACAATACTGTAACACCAGATAAAAATACAATAACTTTAACAGCCATGCTTTCATAGTAGATCAAAAACTAAATAAAATTGATACAGCTCAAATGTTTTAATCTGTTATCCCAGTCGAATGGCCACATTGTTTGCTTGAGATGAATACTGGCTCATCAGAAACATCAAAGACTTCAACAAAATGGTGCCCATCTGAATCCTGCCTTGACATATAGTGAGCTCCTCTTAGTAAAAAATTACTTCAGCTTGGTCTTCTACCTTGGGAGAATCCCCTCTAACATGTTTCCCCCAATAGGGCTTAATCATAGAGCCCTCTATGATTAAGCCTATATTGGGCAAAGCATGTCAGAGGGGGTTCTCCCATGAGTAGGAGACCAAGCACCATTTTGTTGTAGCAATTATTTTAGTTACAAACAAAGACCATCAATTACTGCTGAATCTATTTGATGTTTGTAAATTGAAAATTTGACTGGTGGAATATTTCTAGTTTAAAAATTCACTAGCTAAACAAACAGGCTGTAAAGGATTTATTGTTCTGCGACTCTGAGAGATACACATTGTTTGGCCTTATAAGCATCTTAATGTTCTCACTATGTCACAGCTATGGCCTTCGTACATTAAACTACTGGAGGCAGTATGCAATATGTCAAACATCCCGGAGTTTGCTGATGGTACTCTGACGTCCTCTCAATAAAAAACATACAGATTTTTTTTTTTTAACTAAGGTGAAATATTTTCTTGTCTGAATATATCAGCAGGAATTGAATGACAGTGAGCACATCCGACAGGGTGACTCAAACGTAGTCAGAAACATTTGGCGTGTGAGGTCTTTGATTCCACAGAGAATAGCTCTGAACCTTGGTGACGATCAGGGATGTGTCAAGCATATTTCATGGTAACATTCAGAAAAGTTGAAGCTAATGACCCGAATGACATTTCAATCGCAAGAGTTATTTTTATGGCTATGAATCAAAAATAAGACCATAGCTATGGAAGATATATTTAGAGACGTGGTGACTTTATGTCAGTGTTGCCCAATTGGGGGCCTAAGCAAGAAGAGCAAGACTTTGGCATAAGGCATTTGTTAATGGTGACTTTCCCATTCATTTTTCACTAAAAAATGTCTAAAAGTGTGGACAGGAGAGTGAAGTGGACAGAGCAATCTCAAAAATAATCTTATTTTTATTATATGCAAAACTCTACTTTTGTTGAGAAGAAAGTCATCCCCTCCAAGCTATTTCTATACATTATAGATTCTTACGTGCTTTTTTTTTGTATTTGCACCAACTTCTCCTATATACTGTAGATTGGTGAGTGAGAGGGTTTGTCTGCTTTATTCATGTGATCTGTTCCATGGTTGTATAAAAATAAAATTTTGCATCTGTAACATTCTTTTTTAGTATGCCACCAAAAACATTCTGCAGTAAACCCAAGGACATACACTGTGTTGTCAAAAATATTGGGACGCCTGCCTTTACACGCACATGAACTTTAATGGCATCCCAGTATAAGTCAGTAGGGTTCAATATTCAGTTGGCCCACCCTTTGCAGCTATAACAGCTTCAACTCTTGGCAGGCTGTCCACAAGGTTTAGGAGTGTGTCTATGGCAATATTTGATCATTCTTCCAGAAGCGCATGTGAAGTCAGGCACTGATATCGGATGAGAAGGCCTGGCTTGCAGTCTCCACTCTAATTCATCCCAAAGATGTTCTATCAGGTTGAGGTCAGGACTCATCCCCAAACTCTTCCCACAAAGTTGGGAGCATGAAATTGTCCAAAATGTCTTGGTATGCTGATGCCTTAAGAGTTCCCTTCACTGGAACTAGGGGGCCAAGCCCAAATCCTGAAAAACAACCCCACACCATAATCACCCCTCCACCAAACTTTACACTTGGCACAATGCAGTCAGGCAAGTACTATTCTCCTGGCAAATGCCAAATCCAGACACATCCATCGGATTACCAGACAGAGAAGCGTGATTCGTCTCTACAGAGAACATGTCTCTACAGTTCTGTGGTGGCGTGCTTTACAGCACTGCATCTGATGCTTTGCATTTCACTTGGTGATGTAAAGCTTGGATGCAGCTGCTCGGCCATGGAAACCTATTCAATTAAGCTCTCTACACACTGTTGTGCTAATCTGAAGGCCACATGAAGTTTGGAGGTCTTTAGCTATTGACTCTGCAGACAGTGGGCGATTTCAGTGGCCTACCACTTCGTGGCTGAGTTGTTATTATTCCCAGTTGCTTCCACTTTGCTACAATATCACTAACAGTTCACCATGGAATATTTAGTAACAAGGAAATTTCCCAGATGGACTGGCACAGGTACCTATCACAGTACCACAATTGAATTCACATAGCTCCTGAGAGCAACCCATTCTTTCACAAATGTTTATAGAAGCAGTCTGCCTGCCTAGGTGCTTGATTTTATACACCTGTGGCCATGGAGGTGATTGGAATACTTGAATCCAATGATTTGGAGGGGTGTTCCAATACTTTTGGGAATATAGTGTAGCTGGGGATATTTGAGACTTGACCACAAGTGTTGGACTGATGTCCTTTAGGTATGGTTTAAAGCTGGTCATACATGGATTGAAGGTCGGACGGTTCAACAGGGACTGGCCAAATTATGATCCATGTATGGCCACCATGGTTGAAGAGAAGTTAATCTACCCATCGACTTCTGTTTAACCACCTGTTGGATTTTAGTCATTCGATGATGATGCTATAGCCTGCAGTGCTGATCTGTGTATTCTGACAGCAGAGAGGTCTCTCTACTGTTAGAATACAAAGACACAGTGGAGAGGATTCCCCCATCCACCCTGAATGTGTGGATGGGAGAATCATGTCAGTTTTTTGTTCAACCCACTGGCTGAACGAAAAAACTGACTCATCTATAGCCAGCTTAACAATGGTAGCTTGTACTTAGCACAGAAGAGTAAGGCAATGGAAAATATTTGTAGATAAAAGTTTATTTAATATGATCAAGGCTAAGAAATTAACACATAATGACCTAAAAACATAAAGAAATACAAAAAATGAGATACCAAGCATTAATAAAATATATTTTATCTTTTTAACCAATAGTATATGTCTCCATCTGTAGCTCTAGCTCCAGATTACATAAAGAAGCAAATGACTAATCTCTTATCAGGCACCTCATTCTGAAATTCCAATTGGAAAATAGCAGCCACAAGACACAAGGTAAAACTGATATTTAGTCTCAATAGCTAACCATAGTGCTCTGGAAAACTTCTGTCATGTACAAAATGTTTTAAAGCAAACATTGAACACATAAAGTTTAAAAATATAACACTGAACCCAAATTGTTATCATTTCCGTTTGTTCTCTAATTGGAATAGAAGTTGTGCTGTACAGTCCAAACCGCACCAATTTGCCATACTGTAATTAATGTATGTTGACGCATCAAGTAATGTGTGGTAAAACAGGTCATAATGTGTACATTGCATATAAGTGCATATAAGAGTAATTGGGCCCTAATTATTTTCTGTTATGCTTTATTAGCTGACCATTCCCTGGCATCTAATGTTGTTTGCACCCAGAAGCGGACTGACAACTCATGGGGCCCCCGGGCATTAGGGGATCATGGGGCCCCTGTGTCCTTGCCCAAACTCAAAAAAGCCTATGAAAAAGGTACCAGGGGCATCTCATGGGGCCCCCTACTGACCCGAGCCCTCGGCAGTGCCCGAGTTTCCAAATGGTCAGTCCGCCCCTGTTTGCACCCATACACTTTCGTAATTTTTCGTTTTTGGCTTGTTATCATATCCACTGGTGCCTAATAGCTAGGGCTTGTTATAGATGCTGTAAACACAACTGCAGCCTAAATGCTGGGATGAGTGGTCCCACAAAGGCTCTGCATGTGTATGTGGAACAATAACTTTCCTACAGTTATCTCCACAGTATCTCTGCATCAAACTAACACTGGCTTCCATTACCCTATGCAATGGGGATACTTCGAATATCTTTTAGAAAGAAAACCTTGTCCCATCACTTCTGCAGTTCACACAGGAGGACCCAGGAATATATTTCTTAGAGTTTTTAAAAAAGTATGTAATAAACTTAATAATTTTGATACAAATGCAAGGAAATTGTGAGGCTACCATGTGGGAATTAAATATTTAAGAACAAACAAACGGAGTAAAGAGTCTGTGAATTTGCTTGTCTCTGCAAACCAACATATCTTTATTGATGGTTTCCTGGTATCCTGATTTTGTAAGTGAAAATATTGCTGGAGGCAACATATACTGGATAGTTTCTTGATATTTGAAGAAAACTTGTTTTAAAATAAATATGTTGGATGCCGTTGCTGACTCCCTGAAAATGCTAATTTCTTGGCTGTTATGCTGATTCTATAACTTTCAAAAATATCTGACATTATATTATGCAATAACCCAGTGACGGCAGAACTCTTGACTTGCAAGTACTGTATGTTCACAGCTAGTGACTAAATTTGGGGTGTATTGCATTGTGTCCTATAAAACATTTACATAGCAATTCGCGCAGTGAAAGTGCATGCCTGTACGTTCTGTGCGAATAGTGCAAAATACAAATGTTATTAGGCTATTCCCTGTGCCATTTGAATGTTTCGGCAGTAGTTTTTGTTTAAATTTAATTAAAACAATTTAAACAGCACATGAAATAGCCTAATAACATTTTTATTTTGCACTATTCACACAGAACGTACACACATACACTTTCACTGGGCGAATTGCTATGCAATTCTATTATAAATACACCCCAAAGTGTATTGAATCCATTGTGAAATCTGGGAAAGCTGGTGGCTTGCTTTAACCACTTGTTAGGAATATGCAAATATGTGAATGTTCATAGCTTGGTCACAATTTTACTTTAACCACTTCAAGTTCGGATCAGGGGCGGACTGAGAACTCATGGGGCCACCGGGCCCCTGTGTCCTTGCCCAAACTCAAAAAAGCCTATGAAAAAGGTACCAGGGGCATCTCATGGGGCCCCCTATTGACCCCGGGCCCTCAGGCAGTACCCGAGTTTCCAAATGGTCAGTCAGCCCCTGGTCCGGACACTTTCACCCCCTTCCTGCCCAGGCCAATTTTCAGTTTTCACGCTTTGAATGACAATTGTGCGGTCATGCAACACTGTCCCCATGTGAATTTTGTAGCATGTTTTTGTGACAAGATAAAACTTTTTTTTCGGTGGTATTTATTCACCACTGGGATTTTTATTTTTTTTGCTATATAAATGAAAAAAGTCCAAACATTTTGAAAAAAAGTGTTTTTCTTATAACATTTTGCAAATAAATAATCTTTCTTCATAAATCTTGGCCAAAATTTAATCGGTTATCTTTTTACAAAAAAAATAACCCAAATGTTTAAATTTAAAAAAAAAATGTTTTATGCTATTATTTATGTTTTTGTTTTTTTTTGTTTTTTTACATAATGTCACCCTAGCAATACAGTATCATCATATTGACACTGTACTACTTGTGGGGGGTGATGAAGATTTTTTTTTTGTACACTGATTGCTTTTACACCCATAAAGGCTATAAGATCAATCATTTCTCCTTCTTTCTGGCTGCATTCTTGCAGCCATTTAGAAATACTGTGAGAGCTGTGATTGGTCACAGCTTGTCACATGGTACAAGGCTGTTGTGAATAGCCTTGTACCATGTGACCTGTGTGATCATTCACAGATTTCACACATAGTAAGCAATGATGTCAGGAAGTGACATCTTGCTTACTACTATTCATGTGATCACTGAATGGCCAATCAGTGATCACATGATTGGGACCTCACACACGTTTATGAATGGCAACCCACTCCTGCACTGCTCCCATCCAGCCGTTTATGTACCTGGGCCAGACGGGAAGTGGTTAACCACTATGCGACCGCCCATCTGCATTGTACTGCGGACAGGTGGCCACTGTAGACAAAGCAATATCTGTGTATGTTGCTGCCTACTTCCGGGTTTCGTGCGTGTGCCCCCCACCCTAGCACCTGCTGTGATTGTACACAGCCAGAGCCTGTCAGTAAGTCCCGGTCAATGATTCATGGCTGGAACATGCTGATTGGCTGTGTAGAATCACAGTGAAGGGCTCTGTGTTGGTTAACAACACAGAGCTCTGTACAGAGGGAGCGATCTGCCAGTTTCTCATCCCTGAAACCCGACATATCTGGTAGTAAAAGCAGAATACTGTACACACATTACAGATATTTAGGCACTCATTTAACCTCTTGATTGCCCTAGATGTTAACCCTTTCCCAGACAGTGTCATTAGTACAGTGAAAGTGTATAGTATTATCACTGATCACTGTATTAGTGTCACTGGAGATGTCAGTGGCAGTTAGTCACTGGAAGTCAGTGTCAGATTGCCCACTGCAGTCCTGCAATCCCATTTTAGTCACTGATCACCACCATTAGTAGTATGTATTGAAAAAAAAAATGTCAGTACATGTACCATAGTTTGTTGGCGCTACAACTTTCACGCAAAACAATCAATATACACTTATTGGGATTTTTTTTATCAAGGACATGTGGCAGAATACACTTTGGCCAAAGTTTATGAAGAAATTAGATTTTTTAAAAAAGTTTTTATTGGATATAAAAAGCAGAAAGTAAAAAAGATTTTTTTTGCAAAAGTTTTGGTCTCTTTTTGTTTGTATCAGAAAAAATAAGTTAAAAAAAATAGTGTTGATCAAATAGCACCGAAAGAAAGCTCTATTTGTGTGAAAAAAATGCTATAAATTTTGTTTGTGTACAGCGTTGCACGACCGCGCAATTACCAGTTAAACTAATGCAGTGCGGTATAGCAAAAAATGGTCTGGTCAAGAACGGGGTAAAATCTTCGTGAGCTGAAGTAGTTACAGAAAACCTATCATAAACTTGGATAATTTAGGACAAAGGTTACTTTCATTGAAATCTCACTTAGCTCAGTGGATCCAAACATATAAGAAATTGAAATGATATGCAATCTCAACTTTTTCTGCAAAAGCCAAGCTTGGTTTGGCCTAGGGAACCTCTTGAGCCTCAGTGAGCCCATCCATTACTTTATCCGATCAATAGGGAGGTAGGAAGCTATAGGGCAAAGAATGGCTTTTGAAGAAAAAACTCAAATGTTTGCCTACAGTATATCTGGATATGATAATTATTTGCCATGCATTGAAAGTAACCTTTGCATGTGTAATTTTGTTCATCCTATCCTAGGTTTGGTTTGACCAGATTTGGGATGGGTAGAAAAGAGAAGTAGCTGGTACAATTGATTGGTCAGTAGGGTATGATGGCAGTGTGTAAATATACTAAACGTCTGTGTTGACCACCTTCAATGGGTAAATGTCATGTTCTTTTGACACCAGTTTGAAGTTATTCAAGATCATTCAGAACTAATTGACAGATGTGACCTGCGGTTTGCCTGCTTTCAGCCGATTTTGCATTCCCAAAGACGTGTGGGGGGGGGGGGGAGAACTTGAGTTTACAGGAATAGGGTAATTGCGGATGTTGCGTTGCTCCTCTACTTGTTTTTAAAGGTCTATTAACTATGCATATTTTATTTTATTCAGCTTATCTTGTTTTTCAACCACAATAAAATTTGAGGACTGAACGGCATCCTAAGCTAAGTTTCTATCAAATGTCCAATTAAGAGAGATTGTTAGATGAAATGCGCAGTATGGAAGCCTGATCACTGGAACTTGTTAACATTCATTTCACTAGACACTGAACAATGATCCACATATCTCTCCTATTACTTCAGCTCTGGGGTCTCCAACATGCTCATCCAATGTGTTTGCAAATTAGAACATCGGTGTGAAAAGGCAAGACTGGATAATTGGCAAAATGGCTATGTGACCAATATATAAATACACAGAGCTACAAGAGCAGCTATCATAGGTCACCTTGTTTACAACAGGCTGGCCATTCATTTCTTATCTTCATAGATTTCTGGATTCTTTTTCTCAAACAAGACACAGGATCTTGTCTGTCCTATAACAGCAGTGCCAAGCCAGCAGGCAGACAGGTAACATTCGTTATCTGTATGTGGGAAGCCTCAGTAATTAGAGACTTCTTCTAATAAAGTGCTACTGAACTGGCAAGTGTCTATCTGTGATTTCTACTGCCTTTTACTGTCTATCTGTGAATTCTACTGCCTTTTACTGTCTATCTGTGAATTCTACTGCCTTTTAAATCTAATGTTATCTTTATTTGACTTTATGTAACATTTTTACGTAGGATACTACGGCCAGCTATAAATATAAGGCAGTACTTTCCAGACTTGTGAATATTTTTTTTTCTTAACATGACGCATGCCATTGCTCTTGCTATCCCATCTAAGAATAACTTGTGTATAATCTTTGTATAGAGACAGTTATAATCTGTTTATTACTCCCTGTCTCATGCCATGGCTCTCTAGCTATTGCTAGATAACGTGAATAACCTTTTTTTTGGTTAGGAGTGCAGCTTTTGTTCTATTTAGTTTGTGGCGCTTTTTTTTTTTCTCTATTTCTCATATTATCATTGCTAGATAACAGCTGCGAAAACTCTATGTAAAAATCAATTTTCACTTTAGCTTCCTTTTATCCCTTCTTTCTGCACTCACCAGAATTACTTATTTTTTCTATTGGCTGACCAAAAAAAAAGTTACAGCCAATCAGAAAAAAAGGGACGATAAAATTGTAACTAGACAGGCAGTGTAAAATTCAATTTTACCATAAAAAAGTGAGATTACTAGAGAGCTGAGCCATGAGAAAGGTAGCAACAAAAGATTATATGTTAAGCTATCTATAGATAGTAGAGGTCAAAATGCAGGCATGAATCAAATTCCATTAGGACCTGTGCTAGTCATGAATATATGTAATGGTCGTTTACATTTAGGCCCATGAAGCAGGTTCGAGGTGTAGGTTTTAATTGCTGCTAAGTCAAGGTAGTTTTCTCTCACTTCCGTTGCTGATGATAATGAGGTGAATAGG